GACTTTTTTATTCATCCTGACCTGCTCTATATGCCTACAAAATTGCGTAGCTCTAGGCCAAATGTGCTTTTGACAATTTAGAAGGTGGCGCTGTGGAGCAATTTTTCTGTTGAGGTGTGTATTGTTCTTCCAAATTATATTCTAGTTTGTGACATATCATCCTCAGCCTCAGCAGAACAAGTTGTTCAACAAAAACTGTAAAAATTACTCAGGAACAGCTGGAAGAACACGACATAAAACCCAAAGCGTGGACCCAGCTTTCAAACTCCCCAGAGCGTCTGCCGGATGCAGCAGAACAAGTCAAATCCACAGAGGTCCTGCCTCACGACCCAGAGGACCCAGAGGATGCACGACTGCATTCACAAACAGGCCTGTTTGTGTAGGTCGCAGAGAGTTCACATCCAGCAAACCCACACTGGCTGAACCAGACTAAAAGCAGCGCCAGCACAAGTGTAGAAAAAAAAAAACTAAACGGAAGAATTTGTTGAAAATTCACAACATAAAAACATTTACTTTGATAATTTTGTAAATCAGCAGTTTGTCATTGTCAAAGGCAAACAGTTACAAAATTTAAGACACACAAGATTTGAAAAAACAACAACAACAACAACAACAACAACAACAGTACAGGTTATCAGTTTAGGACAATCAAAAGCTGCATCTTCAATTGATTCGGCTACAGGTTCTTTTAAAAATTCTAAATATCCATCACAAGTGAAAGTAAAGTGTATAAAAAAGTAAATCCTATATGTATAAAAACATCCAGTGCTACAAAATTGAGAGCAAACATTGAGCCCTGCGCTCATCCACTCCCTCTACAGTACAAATCAAACCTCTGAGTTTAGAGCCTCTGAGGAGGTTTGTGTACGTTACAGATACCTGCAGCACAAACAACAACAACGTAAAGACTTACACACAACATCTCAGTAGTCAAACAGTGGTTAGAGAAGATTCAGTGGTGCAGCTGGTTGTCTGTGCCGTGACGGAGCTCAGAACAGATTCAGAACGCAGCAACAAGCTTTTTTCTACCCTGAACTCTGGAGTGCATACATCAGATACAGGAATACTTGGCTATCAAGACTGCTACAGTACCAGAACATCGGCTCGGGCACACTTTGGGCTGCATTTACATCACACACCACTTTTGTGTTTCCCTGATGCATCACAGCACACGACGTTTTCTTTTATTGTTTTGACATCTACTGTGTGCACAACATCTGCACCGTTCACGTGAGGATATGATTCACTGTTGAGCCTCAACTTTGGCTGAATTTAGCCGAGCACACTGAAGTGAACAACCATTTCCTGTATTCTAGGAAGCAGCAAATTTACTTTCACTTCTGTCCTAAGCAGCGCTTCATGTTTTTATTACTTTTCAAGCTTGACAAATCGCTGATTTGCTTGACAAGTCAGCGATTAAACATCCTTTTATGCATTTCTGTTAAACACCAGAAGCAACAACTTAATTCCGAGAACTACAGAAAAACAACTTGCATTTTTAATTGTTAGACGTCCTCTCAGTTGTTTTCGGTGCTACTCCGAGTACAGCAATGGACAATGTGTGCAACTCTCACCTTTACAACAGGTGATGTTTGTAATAGATGGGCGCAGTGGGAAAATCCACCCTCAAAACACACCAACACACACACACAAAATACACAAGTGTGTTGCAATTTAACTACAACAGCGTTAATGCATTCGGCTAATTTACTATCCAGCTAGACTCCATGAAGTTTTGGCTCACAGTCAACCAGGAGCGTGTCTCATACCGACCAGGTGGCTGATTGATGCAATTTGCTTTTCCACCTTCAAAGAAAGGGCAAACTCAGACCAGGTTTGTTTTTATTTATCCAGAGAAGTTTGTCGCTTTTGCCACATGGTGACTGTCAGTTCTCACCGTTGGCCTCATGACTGTGAGTTACTGTGTCCACTGCACACCACCTCAAGGCACAACCACATCCTCCCTCCTGAATGCTCAGGACTGGGAGCTGTAAGCTGAAGATTAGACCATGTTTGTCTCCTTTTCCCTTCGGCTCTGCAGCTTGACATACAGTAACTGGACTCAAACTCCCTGCAGCATCCCACCTCCACCATCCAGCTGGACCGCTTCAGACGAACTGGCTTTTTTGTTTTGGCTCAAACCAGCCCAGTTCCTCAGGACGCACTGAGCGCCTGGCCAGCCATGATTTACTGTAACAATCAGCGTTTCAGCTTCGGTCTGACTCAGCTTTAATCTTCAGTTATTTTTTGGCCTTGCTGTCTGGCTTCTCCTCTGTTCTGCCGTTTGATGAGGTTTGCCTGGCAGTTGCGGGCCGGACCTTGGCGAGCTCAGATATCGCCTTGGTGTTGTCAGTTTGAGCTTTGGCAGTCTCTGGACGTGTTTTGGACTCTTTCTTTGGCGGTACATGGGTAACTGGTTCCCAGAGGAAGAACTCGTGCAGGAGTGTGTTGACAGCCTCGGGACACTCCATCATGATCATGTGACTGCCGTCCTCCAAGACCTTCAGGAACGCCAACAGGAGGATCTGACGAAAAGCAGGAAGCAAAGAAATAGTTACATCTTTGTGCCATCAACAAAACTTGGCAAATGTACATTTTGGGCCACAGTATTAGACCTCTGAACGATTTCAGCGGTTCACATGATACAATAAACTGAAACAATTCAGTCTGATCATCAGGAGGCCAAAGAGCTAATGTAGAAGAAGAAACAGATGCTGTTAGTCTGTTGCCTTTTGAAGTCAGTCAGAGTGGAGCCTCTATAATTTTAGTGTGAAGTGAACAACTACGTTACGTTGGCAAGTTCACTGAAGGGAGTAGGTTAGTGTTTAAGATAGATAATAAATATACTTTTTTAAGTTGATATGCTGATTTACTTCAAAAAGTTCTCTGCATCACCCGGAAACAAGGGACGTAACTTCCATTGTGGGCCATAACTGTATCGTATAAAACCTTATATCACTGTCCACAGGGCTGCAAGGTGGAGCGGTGGTTAGCATCGTCGCCTCGCAGCAAGAAGGTTTGCATCGCATTCTCTAAGTGTAGCCCTGTGATAGACTGGTTACCTGTCCAGGTGAACCTGCCTTCACCCTGAGTCAGCTGGGATAGACTCCAGCCTCCCGCGATCACTGTCCACAAAATAATTTACTAAAGAAGAGGAAAGCTTCGAGCGGTTGTGCTGTTGCTCCGTGGCAATGTGTCAGATGTGATTTTGAACTATTGCCACATGCTCCTCAATCACACGAGCTGCACCATCTGACTTCTATCTGCTTTCCAAACTGAAATCCCATGTGCATGGTCACCATGATGGAAGTCATGCATGTTGTTGTGGAGCTTCTGCAGACTCTACATCTGGCCTTCTTCCACTGAGGGAGAGTGGAACTTTAACATCAGTGGACCTGGTGCATTGATGTCAAAGGAGACTATGCTGAAAAACAATCATTCTCCTGTGGACTTTTTGAAGCATCCTCATATTTACACATCCAGCAGATGCATTGATTTATTTGTGACTGTAGCTGGAAGTCACCTGGACACCTTGCAAATGCACATCCTTTCATTCTCCTTCAAGGATAATCATCCATTAAGCCTAACGAGCCCTACAAAGCTAACGCTGACCATCTTGTTCTCTGATGTTAAACGTTTTGGTCACAGTACGACAGCGTTTCATTGAATCAAGTTCAGACCCTGGGCTTAAGGCCTCCACCCGGTTACCTCTGCCATGCGCTGGTCCTCCTCAACAGGGACAAACTTGTCATGCATGCCATGAACCAGCAGGGTGGGCACTGTGAGCTCAGCGTGGTAAACCTCGTCCCCCTCAGGCCAGTACTGCCCGCTCATCATGGCGCGCAGTACAAATGACGACACATTGAAGGCATTGTTCTCTTTCAGCAACTGCTTCTCCTTGGCACCCTGCCGAGCAAAGCCAGCCCTGCAGGAAGAAGATAAAAAATCAGGAGTGTGATGATGTTAAACATTAATGTAAGGTGGGTGAATTAACCGCACACATGGTTCCACACAAAGGCAGAATTAGCTGCGTAGAAACCAGCTGCACATATATCATGTTTGTGTTCATGTCAATAAAGGTTTGATGTCAGAGCCCTTTGGATGGGCTGTCAGATATTTTACACGTATTTTACCAGAGAACACAGCTGCCAGTGCCTCCTTTCATGTTTATCCTCCTGATTTCTTTGCTGTCAAGTCTTACTTGAGGAAGCTCCAGGCCAGCAGCGGGGAGAGGCAGTGAAGCACGCAGGTGGGCAGGTTGAAGATGGAGCAGAGGCTGGGCTCCAGAGCTGTGGGACCTCCACCGTTGATCATCACCATTTTGTGAATCTGCTCTGGATACTCGTGGGCCAGGAAGGTACAGAACGACACACTGGCAAAGCAGAACGGAGGACGTGTTACAGGACAGACTGGGAGAAACAAGGTGATCAGGTTGTAATGTGTTGATATAGAAAGTCTCATGGGACTAAAAATATTGGAATTTAGCGTTTAGTGTGTGAAGAATGTATTGTGAATATATTGTATTGCATTAAGAACAAACAGAAGAAGCAGTAAAAACAATTAGAAGTAACGCAATAAATAACAAACAGGGCTTCATTAAAGAATGATCATATTATCATTGTTGAATCTGTTTGACAAATGAGGTTAATTATTTTACATAATGTGAATGAAAACAGAGAAAAAATGCTGATTATACTCGACCAGCTTCTTTGTTTTATCCGACCAGCTGAAGAAAATCTAAATTCATTGAATTTTAAATGATAAAAAACTGAAAAAAAGGAGTAAATGCTAATATTTTACAAGCTAAAGTGAGAAAATGTTTTCCCAACAGTTACTAAAATTACAATTAATTAATTGTCTATTGATTAACAAACTGATACTGTTTCAGTTTTGGAAACGTGTTTCTCAATGTTTAGTGAGAAACACATTTAACATGTGAACCCTAAAACCCACCAACAAGCTCAAAAGGCATTTTATCTTTTAAAAGATCGACAAGTTGTTCCATTTATCAGAACAACAAAGTGTAAAAGCAGCAAGAATCAGCACATTGATTACTTTTCTCTGGGCCTTGAACTAATCATTTTAAACATGCGGTTCCTTTAGGATTTATTCATTTCAAAACCACAGCTTAAAAACATGATATTTTATCAAACTCACTTGATTTTGTCTTATTCAAAAATTAAGCGTTTGTAGTAAGCAGATTCTGTAAAAGAAAAAAAATCTGTGTTGTATCTGTGTTTTTCTGTATTTGATGTTTATCCAAAGACCTGCGCTGTTTGTGGTCTGAACAGGACTAACTACAGAACATTTTGTATTGGCTGAAAGATATTAAACATCTTTAACATCTATACAAAAAACAACACAGAGACACTGATGTGTGATTCTTCTGAGGAGACCTCCAGAACCATCCTGGATGATTTCTGTCAGTTTTACTACACTTTGCATGAATGTGTTGATGTTAAACTCACCCATAAGAATGTCCTATTAGAATATTCCTCTTGCGTGCATATCTCTTGAAGATGAGTCTCATATCCTCAGCCAGGGCGTAGAAAGTGTACGCTGCAGCTATCTGTGGCGCTGTGCTGGCTCCGTGACCCGCCAGGTCCGGGGCGATCACTTCGTAGCCCAGCCGAGAAAAGAAGTCCAGCTGGCTTCCCCAGATATCCAGCGAGCCTCCCACTCCATGGATGAAGAACAGAGCCACGTCCGAATGCGTCCCTTTACAGGCTGATATTTTCCTCTCACAGTCGATCACCACCGAGCGCTTTGGCTTCCTCCGGCGCTTCCTCGGCTGCTGGGACGTTTCAGTCTGTCCAGCAGCAGGTGCGTCTCCTGCTGCTCCTGTTTCAGACGCCCCGTTGTTTCCAGCTGTGATAGAGTCTGACCTGCCCTCACGGATTCTGACGGGCAGTGGGGAGTGACCAGAGTCTGTCAGTTCAACCTCCACAGTACTGTTGGGTTCTGACTCTCCATTCTGACAGTTTTTCACCTCGGTACTCGCCCTGTCGCCCAAGTTCTCAATGAACAGCTGCCCATTGCGATAAACGGTGATCTTTCGTTTGCAGCTCACACTGCCACCCGGTCCGGTGGGTTCCTCCACCACCGGCCGGTCAGGAACGATATGTCGAACCCGCAGGACGCGGCCCGGTTTCACCTCCACGAACTCGTAGCCGTCGGCAGGTTCTGAGGTTTCCACAGGAACCACAACGTTGGCTGACTTTGAGGCGAGGCAGCAGAGCAGACCCTCTATGAAGCTGGTCAGCATGGCTGCCAGTCTGGAGGGAAAACTAGCAGAAAAACACACAAAAATCAGCACACAGTGACATAAGAATGAACACATGAACACACAACATTAGTCCAGAGTTTACAGGCAAACCGTCTAATGAACGTAGAGCTATACAGACTGTAGGGACTCTAAAAACGGGTAACAAACTGACTTAGCTGTATTATTCTTTGCACAGTTATTAAACACACCAACACTTTAAACCCATGACCAGCAGCGATGTGTCCGTTTGTCTGTTGGAGTCCACTGACAGACATTTCTGAGGAGCAGGACCAATGGCCAGTTATCACTAATATACAAAAAACAAACACTTGTGGTGTCCAAAATATACCCTGAGGTCCTTAAAACATACAAAGTAATTCACAAAATTGGCAGCCTCAGAGATGTCTGCTGCCTTCTCTTATGCAGCACCCATCATGTACCAAAAAGTGGTCATTGCATTTGTTTGTGAAGCATCACCGTCAACCTTTTCTTTTGGTAATTTTTACTTGCAGCACTTGTCAAAGAAGAACCAGTGTGGCGCTTCACACACAGGTGAGGTGAAGAGTGAGTCTGTTTGGTAGCTTAACCTGACCTCTCTGGCAGGAAGATAACCGCTCGGTGATGATGGAACATGTGTGACTGTGTGATTTTGTGCAGGAACGTCGCCACAGACGCACAGCTTGTAAAACTCTAAACACAAGGACTTTAATATAATTTCATCAGTGGGTCATCGGCTCAGTCTCCAATGTGCTACCTCGTTTGGCAAAAGAAAGCGAGTTAACAGACTTTCATGTAGATGAAAATCTTTGAGATTGCCAATTTAAAGCAAATTTAGATTAAGCAGCAACAAGGACACCAAAAGAACAACAACATTTACAACATAAACACCATCAAAAGAGGAAAATAAAACATCAGCACAAACTCCTAAATGTCTTTGTTAACTTACAAAAACTGAGCAGACGATAAAATCTGGTGAAAATAATCGTACATGTCTTTGCTTCAATTCTTTGATCACATACTGACATAACTTCTGTTTAATCTGAATCTGTACATCATATTGCACAATGTATGTATACTGTTGAAATAAAATCACTAAATATATCTTTAGAATATTTTGTGTGAGCTTCAGACCCAGAATCACTCCATTATGTCACTACTGCTCTTCTATATGGTCCCATTTTGATGAAACGTGCAGTTATTCTTGTTAACCTCCAGCAGAAGGCCTCTAAATCCGTACATCAAGAGAAAATCTGGGACCTGAAGTGTACCATTCAAAGACGTAAACAAGTTCTGGTGCCTTTACAATCTGGCATTACAACTTAAACCCTTGCGACTTTCTGTCAGACGTAACCGAGCAGCATCTTTCCTCAGCGTGGCCTTTGGGGGTATTAATAGCCGTGGACGGTAATAGCTCCCTGCGTTAAAGCTGTCCGCCATGTGATCGCTCTGCACAGACACAGCTCCACTGCCAGTCAGAACCACAGCACGACCAACCAGTACTCACAGGTACTTCTTTAGAGGTATGGATCCGTAGGTTTGCCTCTTTAACAAGATTAAAAAATAAAGGAAAGCTGGAGCATTTCTGTGGAGTAAATTAAGTTTATATCAAAAGCACACTTGCAGTTTAAATGTGCAGAAATAGCAAATGTGCTCAGGTAAGGATTGAATAATTCTACAGTCAACAAACTGGCTTCCTTGTGAACCCCAGTCTGCTTCTTTTGAGGCTTCCTCAACAAATTTATGAAGTAAACACCCTGAAGAAAGATGAGGCCGCACAACGCATGTCTCACTCACAATGCAGGTGCAGAATAAGACAGTATCAGTTGTCAGTTGATTATCAGCCATGGCAACAGCAGAGCAGCCGAGCAGGGTCTGCAGGTCTCTGTGCCGGTGGCATTATCCTACCTTCCTGTTGCTCCCCTCCCTGCTAGAGGGGATTATACTCTGTGTCTCTCTCTAAGTCCACACAACACAATCTGTCTATCTCCTCTCTCGATGAAAACGACACAACACTTTTATTCTCTGTCTAATTTGTTGCATCTTTCTCCAAACTTGCATCCCATCAGCTACTGCTTTCATCTGGGGATTACGGACACAATTGTGATACAGCATTCCTGCTTGGCTGGCTATTTTCATGCCCTTTCTGCTTGTACTTGCACATCCTCTATGCAAACAGCAGCGTTGGGCAGCGCTGTGTGTACCGACAGGAGAAGGCTGAGCAGGCCTGGTTTCATGTCAGCGAAGGCGACGACTTTCATCTCTGCTAATATTCTCTCATTTAAATGCCTTTTCACCAGATGCAAGGTGTCAAGTTTTTTTTCTAGCCGTTTATTTGAGACACTGAGACAGGGATTTGTCTTGTACAACCACAGACTAAATCAATAAAAACCTCCTTTTCTTCCCTAAAAAAAACTCTATCAATCCACTGTGCACACATTTTAAATAGGACGATTCACCCCATCCTCCTTAGATGTTAGAATTAACTTTAAAATATAAATGATAGTTTGGTGGTGAAATTCTAGCCTGTACAGATTCTCCATGCATCGTGCATGAAGTGCGTGTTCAGTAGCCACTTGTATTGTATATTATAAACCATCTGGTTGGACTGAACATACCTGTAATGTAGGCCTCACCATTACAACCCAGAACACATGAGGTTCAGGTCACTGGGGTCTCCCTACGGGGTCAGTCTGCCTCTGTGCTCTCTTCAGGCGAAACGCTACAAAGCTACAGAGAACCTCACCTGGAATTACCTGCCCACTGCTACCATGTTTTTCCATCTGCCACGGGAGCAGACAGGTGTTACTTAAGGACAGACCTCAGTGGAGGGTAGAGAGTTCTCTTCATTTTACCATGAGATTCATCAAGTTATGGCTGAAAGCAGTCAACTCATGATCACTCGCCAAACACATCAAACTGAGTAAAATCTAAACAAGATGTAAAGAAAGAATTTTGCTCTACACTTTTTTGAACTGTGTGAGTTTAGACCCTCTTCGTGTAGACATCATATGATAAAACTCTGCTGCCATTCCTATCTGTGAGTTTGCATCTTGTTGCAGTTTGAAGTAATGGAGATTTAAAAAAATAAAAACTACAGTAGATTTACTGTTGATACAGACTCAGACTTGCTCAGTATTAGGTGTGTTTAACTATTAAAAATCTTCACATATTGCACTTGCTCACAGTTGTATAAACAGTGATATAGATTCTGTAGCACATGAAAGTGCAAATATTCAAATAGCACAGCTATAGAATTAATGAAAACCATTTGAAGCATTGGGAGCTGCTGGCCCCATCTATTCTCTACTGACAACAACAACCAGCTGACTGAGGCAAGTGCCAGAATGTTTGTTTTTCTTTTCTTTTTTACTGCGAAATAAAATGTAAAGTCTGAACTAAACACAAAATAAGCAGTTTGTCTTGAATAACAGGAGCTTGATATGCAGCGACCTTCCTCTCGTCTCCTTCCAAAAAACCTCAAACTATACTGGAATAAAAACCAGCTCAGACAATAACAGAGTCAGAGAAGAACTAAAAAACACACAACAACAAATCAGAACATGCTTACCTTCACCTATATTTCCTAAAACTCCGCGTATATGATCAGATTGATGCGGTTTTCTTATGAAGCATCGGGGAAGTAGGAGAGCTATAATCTGTTGCAGCCAATCCAATAATCTAATTTATCTGGATTTTGTTGTCCTGTTGGCAGCCGCCACACGGTGTCGGCCTCGGTATGGACACCATATCTCTCTGTATGTCCGGGCAGTTTGACTTCTCCATTCCAGTGCCACAGTGTTGGTGGCAGCTCCTGGAGACGCGCCGGAGCTGTGCGCCGTTTGGATCCATCAGCTGGAGGTGCGACTGAAGCGCTGCAGCCTCCAGGTTCAGTCGGTGCGTGAGAGGAGCTGCCCCCTGCTGCCGCCACACCACAGCGGACACACGGTCTGCCTCGTGGGGGAAAAATAAATGCACTGAAGGAAATTCCATTCGTCCTGTAAATATATACATATATATATTTTAAATATCCAGGATGAAAACATATTTGGAAGCACTTGTGCCTTGTTAAAAAATATTATTGAGCCCATTTATATTAAGAATAATAACAAATGTTGGTCCACATCTACATTTTTTAGGTCTGGCCTTGATACCTTAGGTGCATTAATCTGTCTGTTGTCTTCTTATCAGTTATTGCATTTGGCTTTTGCAATGCACTACAGCAGGGTTTGTGGATAGGCAACACACTAACAGGAAACTGTATGACCAGGGGATCCAGTTAGCTGAATCATTACATCTGGTTAAATGTGGTTGATTTCTTAAATCAGTCAAGTTTGTTTAAAACATGTTTATAAAATGTAGAAACAACATTGCTTTTTCATTCTCTCTCTTTTAATGTTTTCTATCTTGAATGCTCGAAAAAGTTCCCACAATTTTTTTAATATTCTGCACATGCAGCGTTTTGCAAAATTGGATTTAAACATGTTAAATTAATGCAAAAGCAGCCACTCCATGCCATGTGTCATTTGTTTGATTGTCAGTATTTAAAATGTCTTACACACCTTTGCTCAAGTTACCGTTGGAAAATATCCGACAAAGGCGAAGACTATTCATCCCATCTCATCAGCATTTCCTCCTCCAGCATCAGGAGGAGCTGGTGCTGTGGCAGTTGCCATGGCGGTTGTTGCTATGGAGCAGTTTGTGAGGAGAGCAAGGAGGCAGGTGCCAGCGAGGTGAGAGAAGGCACAGAAATCAAGACCCAGCAAGCCCACTGAGCCCGTTGTACATTCTGGTCTTCCTCCCTAGAAAACAAATGTATCTTAATTTAAACAGCGTTACGGTCCTAAACCACTCTGTCAGACAATAAGGTACAACTGAGGTGCACTTTTGTTCTCTAAGGTACAACTGCTGGTGTTGTACCCTCACAGGTTCTGAGTTGGTCCACATGGATTTGTTGATACTGATAACACTGTACTGTGGTTTTGTAGTGTCACACAGCTGGGAGCATATAGGTTACATATAGAGGCCACAAAAAGGGACAGAGGTCTCTTTAAAACCATCAGTCAGAATTAAAACTATATTTTAAATGCAGAATTGGTTAGTTACTGGTTGGCAATTTAGTTTTTACAGACTGATTTTGCACGTCTTTACCATGTCTTGTTTTTTGTTGCTGCCTGACTGACAACAGGTGCAACACTTTGGTCCGCCATGGCTGTTTTAAACTAACCAGCTGGATGAATAAACTTGATTTAAAGTAAAACCAATAGTGTGAAACTCCAAACTGCCTCCAAATGTCTTCTTTTTTCAAGCAACTCTATTATTATATGTTTCAGATCTCACTTAATCTCTTGGTTTCAGCAACATAAAGCTACCACAGGTGCAGCAGTCAAACAATTTTACTCTGAAATGGATTTGTGTGACTGTTGTGATGATGTCCTACACCCACTTATACAAAACATTTCCCAGTGTGGTCAATTCTCCACATGCCGTGCAAGTTCAAATATTCTGTCATTGGAATCAACAATCATCTTAACCAATTTCTTTCTTAAACTTAATGCATTGTTTTTCTTTTTTAAATTGTTTTTTTATTACAACATCCTTGATGCTTTGGCAAAGCAGATACTCATGTCAGTAAAGTGAACCGTTAATGGGAACGAGCCTTACCTTTTCCACGCAGTTTTCTGTATACAGATGAACATCAGAACCTGTTTTAAATACATACATGAGATAAAAATGCTCCCCAAACTATGGATCAGAAGCTGGAAGTGTTTTTCATAATGCAGCTCATCATGTGGGAGCGCAGGCTGCCTGCTCAATGATTTAGGGCGGGGCTAAACCCAGTTGTGTTTAATGATTGGCTCTCTGCTAAAGCTGCTACCACGTGGTGACAGAGCTGAGCCAATGGATGCTCTCGGGGCGTGGTTACGGAAGCATCGCCACCATCCAGCCATCATGCTAGCCGAAGACTGAAACTAGCTTTGCGAACTCATGCAGTGACAACTCGGGTAATGTTTTTTTAGGAGTGTAGTTTGGGCTTTGTTTTCATGGGCACTGAGCTATAGAATGGAATCGACAGCTTGTGTATGAAGGTCGCTGTTTTCTTCGCCAAGAGGACCGGATACGGCAGCTGTCTCGGTTAACTAGCCAGCAAGCTAGCGCGGCCATCACGAGCAGCACAACAGAGCCACCGAGCCACAAGTCGGCGTTTCGACGTTGGAGATTTCTACCGTCATCATGGAGAAGGTACTCATCACACGCCGCGCTTGTAACGTTAGTTCGAGCTGTTCTGCACTCCTCAGAGGGCATATGTCAATGGCGAGCTAGCTGAGGGTGGGTAACAAGGAGCTAGCTGTTAGCCACACCTGCTCCTCCTGCTGGCATTCATGTCCAGAGGCCGAGCCGGCATCGAGCTGAGCTCTGGAGCTGCTCGGCTCCGTCTTGTTCATTTGAAACCACTTGCTGTAGTCCGTCTGGTATCACAGCCAGTGTGGAGGTTAGTGGGGAGGTTACAGGGAGAGCAGCAGGCCTGTCAGTGTTCAGGGCTGCTGGGATGAGGGAACGCCCAGCACTGGCAGGACTCACCTGCACCCAGCTCACATCTGGATGGAGAGCTGTGGACACTAACATCAGCTGGTCATTTATTACTGCTGGACGACATTCTTCTCATCAATAACAACATTCTGCTGACTGAAAGTAGAACCTATGTGAAGGGAGACAGACAGATGAGGATGATTTTAAATGTAAAGTGTCGGGACGCGTTCAGGTTTCATTTGGTGGCCAGATGGGGCCACAGAAGATCTCGGGGTGGCACCCAAACACCAAAACTCCATTTCACAAATTCAATTATGCTGTCATAGTGCCGAATCTAGCTGAGCTGACAGAACTGTAGAATCACATACAGATTGGTTTTGCTTTTAACAGAACAATATCTCCAATATATCCAAGCACGTAGACTAACACAAGCATGTCTGGGTTAGTTGTGTGAAAACCTTTCAAATTAGCCCAGAAGATAAGAGGCTTGTGATTTTAACATGAAGGATTCTGTCCATGTCTAATAGTCTAACAGCCAATTGTGCCATAAAATGTGTCTTCATTGTTATTTGGCTTCCAGCTGCCGTGGTTTTCACGTTATGGTCCAGATTAGAGAGGTCACATCCTCAAACACATCCATGTTAATGTCACAGCTGCACAAATACTGCAGTGAAATGGAAAACTCTGCCTTGTAAAAGCAACTGAGCGTATGTGACGGCTCACCTGTCCGAGGCAAAGTTCAGTGTTGTTTATCGTTAGATCCTGATCGATCCTCCATGTCTGGGATTATTCATAGTTATGGACAATTAATGAAGTTAATGCGTGCAGCTCTCTCGCTCTTTGGAGACATTCAGATCAATTCTGATGCTGCAGGTATTTAATAAACTCAGAGGAAAGACGCCTGCGAACAGCCAGAAGCTCCTCTTAATGCCTTTAGATCTGCTTGTATGTGTCAGGAAAGCTAAAGGCAATCTGTGTCCTTTGCGCTCTCTTTGATGTTCATGGACGGGATGCTCAGCCGAATGTGGCTGCATTGGCTGGAACTTGGACGTTGGAGTCTCAGGGAATGAACTTGACCTATCAGAGCTGGGGTGGCCAGTGAGACTTCAGAGGTGGCCTTTGTCCCCTCCTGGAGGCACCTCTAGTGAGATGAAAGAAAAGACAAAGCAGAGCTCAGTCTCATTATAACATCCCTTTCTCCCCACAGGCCGATTTCTTGAAAGGACTGCCCGTCTACAATAAGAGCAACTTCAGCAGGTTTCATGCAGACTCTGTCTGTAAAGCATCTGTAAGTAGCCTCTAATCATATTTATTATCCACTGTGGACAGGATGATAAATGGTTGTTTAACATATTTGGGCATAATCAAGACAGGACACATGGGCACTATTAAATGTGCTGCGTTTGCTTCTTAACTGAATTCTACATATTAAAATGCACAAAGGAGGAGGAACAACTAAAATCTATAACCTCTTTCTGGTCTGTTGTGCAGAATCGCAGACCCTCTGTGTACCTTCCAACACGTGAATACCCGTCTGAACAGAGTGAGTGCAGCACAAATGTGCATCTTACATTTACACTACAGGTTCATTAACAAAAGCCTTTGTTGTGGTTTGTCATTGACATGTTTTCACTGAATGCTTATTAAGCAAAGCTCATCTGGTGCTCTAAGCTGATCACTGTTAAACGTAATCTGTCAGTAATATGCTGGTTGTGTTTGCCAACAGTTATTGTAACGGAGAAAACCAACATCCTCCTGCGTTACCTTCATCAGCAGTGGGACAAAAAGGTGAGCAGTTCATCAGAGGAAATGTTCTAAGTTTGCCTTCATTTATTGACAGTAACTAGTCTTTGTAGTTGGAGTCTCATTTAGGTCTCAGCTGATCACAAGTGTCACAACACAATGACTTGGTCCTTGGTGCAGTGACTGAGTTCTTACTGAAAAGGAATTCTGTGATTTTTTTTGACTCCTGTTTAATTCTTTATGTCAAACAGAATGCAGCAAAGAAGAGGGAACAGGAACAAGGTGAGGGCGACAGCCCAGCACCCCCGAGGAAGATCGCCAGGACAGACAGCCAAGAGATGAATGAAGACTCATAAGTGTGTGTGTGTGTGTGTGCTTGTGAGAGAGTGTGGGTGTGTGTGTTTGCATATGCAGGGTATAGCCAACAAAAACAAAGGATAATCCGACCTAAGTAAGGACTTCTTACTTAGGTCTACACGATCTACACGATGGCAGCACGCCTTTCCTGGCATGACATGAGGTCATCCATAGAGAGTTCGGGGAATTTCCATCGACAAAGCAGCCATTATGGTGTAAAGATCATGTGCATGAAAATGATGTAAGCAGCAGTGATTCTGTTATTTACTGACAGAACACAGCTGTCAGAGGAGCGTTGTGTTGTAGTGATGTTGGCCATTCCCTGTGTAGTTCATGTATATGTGTGTGTGCATGCTGAGCTGTGAGTGTGTGTCGTGTGTTGTACTGTGTGTGTGTGTGAGGTGAGTGGACAGGTGAAAACGTGAGTAGATTTAAGATGAGAAACAGACTTGACAGATGAAGTCAGACACTACTCTTAAAAACATAACTGGTACATGACTTGTGTAGCCTTCTGTCAGCTGGAGAGTCTGTTCTGATTCGTGTGAACATTTTGTTACTGTTTTAATTTTATTATAAATATTATTGTTTATGTATTGGCAATGAGCTTCCTGCCAGCCACAGTGCCCACCCTCTCAGTTTCACTGCCCACTTTGCAACCACATGGGGGCATTGCAACATTTCTCCACACTGTTTGAATCAACAGAACCAGGAATGCACTGTGAAGAACAGCACAAAGTAGAAGCAACTCTTCCAGAATACCCCTTAGATGTGTGTTTATGGTGAATATTCATATCCGCATTCTATTCTGGGACTTGTGATCGTAGGAAACATGTTGTGTTGGTGTGTCTGAGGAGTATTTTAACATCTAGCGCCACCTTCTGGCTGACCGAGGCGGGTAAGAATGGGACTTTCTGAGTTTTAGCTGTTCGTTCACCGAAAGATGTAAAAGACATGGAGAGGAAAAAGTTATGGCTAAAATGGCTAAAATAAGAAAATTTAAATTGCAAGACTGCATTTTTCAGTTGCACAATTTGGTAACAGCACAGATGGTGAAGAACAACATCTATAGTAATGTTGGGAAAAGGGAAAAGAGCGCATTATGTGTAAATAATTACCAGTACCAGAATTAGTTTATCCAATGGAGTATCTTTGTGTCTGCCTTTTTGTAAAATAATACATGCCCATGGATACAATACAACATGACCCTTGTGAAAGTAAAGAGGAGAGCCCCGACGCCCAGTGGACGTTATCTCGCCTTGCATGTTGATGTTTTCACAGCTGGGTGTTATATTCCTGGACCAGTAATACAACTGATGGGGTGTTGGGGTCGTGGCGTTCTCTTGCGTGACTGTGGAAGGTATTAGCCTAGAGGCCTTACAACTCGTCATCGTGGTTCGGACCCTTTTGCTCCCCCAGCTCAGGGCCCAGGTTAGCTGTGCTGTTCGCCTTGTCTTCGTGACAGCCCTGGATGGTTCTCGTCTGTGAGCTGGCTTAGAGGAACACAGGGGGGTTTAAAGGGGTGTTATACTTTCAGCCATAGAATGCACAATAAGCATGCACAGCAACGTGCAGTCGCCATCCTGCCTTGTTCCTGACATTCAGTTTGTATTGGTGTCATATACTGTGCAACACTGAATAAAGCTTCTTTTTTTTAAACGTTCTTATCACTGCCCAGCAGAGTCACACTGAAGCCTCCTGTCCTTCCTGTTCTTTTATCAGTCGATGCTGCAACGTGGGTCGACGGTGTGGTCAGTCATCTTCCTACTGACAGTGTAAATACCCCCCTCGTTTTTCAAATCCACGTTCCGCTTCTGCTCAGATAGACTGTTCGAGGACACCCTAAGCCTTGCCCCCATCTCATGTGTGTTAGATCAGATATGTTCTTTTTAGCTTTGCTCAAATAAAACTGGATTGAAACTGGGCTTTTTTTGTCATGTGGTGCTTAAAATACATCCTGATGCTGAAGGTAACGCGAGGGAGTGAACGTGATGCACAGTGACGGTTCTGCAGGAACAAGCTGGTCACAACACAGGAAATGCATTTGAAATAGTTTTATTAACTATTTTTCAGGTCTTACAAAAATATGACAAAATAAATTAAAAGAAATAAATAATCCCATTTCCCAGTATTTTCCTTTAAAAGATCTTTTTTTTTTTTGTACAGTGGTACATTGGAAGAGCGTATGATGTTCTGTAAGTGAGGCTTCCATGAAAGTGTCTCAATTTTGAGGTTAGGGTCAGGTTTTAATGTAGCTCTGGTGAGAATCTCACCTCTTCACATCCACACTTAAAATCCAGAACACAGTACATTTACTAAATCCATTCAGTCCTTTCCCACTGATTTCACATTGGACTGATAATTCTTGTACGCTGAAGTTAAGCCCGAACTCTTGAAACAAACCACAGTTGCTTTGATAGTGAATTTGGAGACGTGTGAGGAGCCTCGGCTGTCACGAGGGGATGCCTGCGCTTGGCTCGATAAAACGGTGGTGCTGCTGTCGCTCCTGGTGTGGGATGAAGTTTTCAGCGAAACCAAAATCTGTTACTTTTACCTCGATTAATGCTGATTTAAAGACCTCCATAAGAACAGCGTGCCAGATGTTTTGCTGCAGCTAAGAGTGCAAGGTTGAAAGAAGTGATGAGTTGGTTTTATGCTATCCATGTCTACTCTATGAAGCTGATAACTTTACCTGAATGAGGCTCACACTGAGACCCAAACCTCCTCTTCACTGTGCCCTGATCTCGGCCTTCTCCTGTTAGTCACATCCTCTCCACACAAACGATGATGAATGGACTCTATTGCATCATGACGTCATTCATCCCTGAAATCCGATAGGTTTCATTAAACCGTTCTCGGCTACCATCCTGCTCTCTGCTGGTCCGTTTCCCTTTAACTGAGAATGACACACAGAGATATAAGATTTCTCTCAGCCTTGCACTTCTCATTTTACATTTATAATGAACAGTGGCCTCCAAATATTTTAAAAAAAGAACATAATGCAGTAAAATGATAACCGGGACCACACAAACCGACGTCCTGTCTGTTTCCGTATTGCATTTAATATCGATAAGATCTTTTTGCCCGACTGTGGAAGTACATTTTTTGTCTTTTTTTTGTGTTTTAGGCGGGTGAGACTGAAACATGGTCTACACTTAAAAATCTGACACATGAAAGCAGCAACAAAAACCTGTCGTTTTAATTGGGGATCAGGGCAGATTCTTTACATTTTAATGGAGGGAGCTGACACCAACAGTGAGGGGGACACAAAGAAAAGATGCATAGAGTCTAGATGGGGACGACGCAGTGGAGGTTTAGATTTTATGTTGTATTACAAGTCAACTTCAGCTCAGTGTTATTGCCAGAATCCTTTGCTGGAGGTGAGCGTGTGGAAATGCATAGTTAATGTTTCTGTCTCTCAGCCTACAGTACAGTGCAATGGCCTCTACAACTCGTCACTGTGAACCTAATCTAATGCGTTTCCCTTTCTAAGCTGCAGCCGGACAGTTCTGCTGCCTGAACACTGATGACTAGTGACAGATGTTGGGGAGGAAACACAATCATGAATCCAAACAAGGGAATTTTTTCTGTGCAGGTGAACTGGCACCACCCTCTGGAGACCCTGCAGAAGTGAAACACCGGTTAAATGGTGCGATGATGGGCTTGATTACTTAAAGGTTTTTTTTAAACCAGACCATACAGTACTGTGCAAACGTTTTAGACGCTTTGTTTACGTTCTTATTCTTTATGGAAACGTCTGATTAGTTTCAAACGAACAACTCCAACGACACAAAGAAAGAAACACGTTATCGTGCAATAGACGGTATGGCCTTTGCACTTTTGTATGAAGTTAATGACTGTTATTGAACGCATCCTCGTATTCTTTTAGTGCCTAAAGCGTTTGTAGAGTACTGTGCATCTTGGGTTTTACAGTAAATCCTGAAAAATACTGCTTAGGTTATAAAAAAAAAAAGGAATTTATCCATCATCTGCAAAACGGTGCGTATCAAAGCAAAATGAAGATACGAAACAAAACAGAGGCTCGTCTGAATGTTCTGAAATCCCATATTTTCAGGTGAGAGACGTACACCACGTAGAAACAGGGACAAAATAAAATCCAGCTGTTGCATAATGCGATGAGGCAGGCTGGTGTCGGCTCTCTCTGCGTTTCTATGCAGGGTTTAGTGCAAACGTTACGTCTTTAACTCGATGTTCATTTGCCAAGTCTGGGTTGGAGTGTGTGGAGAGAAGCACCATCTGTGTTTACAAGGTGCTCTACGGGCTCGGATGGAGAACAGCACGCAACAGGCATCCATGCTCCATTTTCTCAAAATCACCTTCATCTGCTTCTTTATTTATTTATTTTTTGCTTCTTTTCTTGCCTCCATTTCGCTTTCTTGGGAGAAATAATGACACTGATAACTGGACTTACTAAGCTCTTTAACAAATCAGGTTGTTTTTTTGCCACAGGATGGGAGGAAGTGTACAAAGCTCAGATATCACCTCTGCTTTGAAAATAAAGCTGGTGATATATCGGGTGATTATTCAGGAGGGGATCTTGATAAGAATTATTAAAACACTGACTGATATTGCTTTTCCATTTTTCCACTTCAGTACAAAAGTGAAGGGCCCAAGAATTCCTCACAGGTAAAAATGAGACAGATATCTAATGATCACTTGTGTCGTGACACCTAAAAAACACTCTCAGTAGTTATTTGATGTACAATCGGTAATCCTTTCATACCACCGTGTAAGTTTTTTAAATCTCTGTCGTCCACAACAGGCCGTTACGTCCTGATGCGAGGCCACCGAGATGCTTACAATTTCTGACTAGAAGAAATCAAGAAACACAGCTCTCTGCTTTAAAGGCTTAAAAATATTAGAAACGCAGCTCATGCATTTCTTTATGTATTGCAGACAAGGAAGAATTTGTATGTTTGTGTGTGTGTCGGTGTGTGTGTGTGTGTGTGTGTGAGGGAGTGTGTGTGTGTGTTTTTTCGGTCATGATAGAAGGGCTTACGTCTTTCTTACAAAGCCTGTTTTTTGTCTGTCAGCGAAAAAAGCAAACCAAAACAGCAGTCATCTCTCATCAGTTTCATCTTCGCCTCTCTCTGCTTCAAGTACTTCTACACATGGCCTGTGACAGCACAGAAGGTAGGTCAGGCCGTTCCTCACAGTAAACACATCACCTCTTCGGTGGAGATGTAACCAAAGACAAGTTTGTTTTTTTCTCTCTGGAGCCACTAGATTTTAGAACCGGCTGGCTCCAAGTCTGTCGAATGACCGTTCTCGGACCCTTCCCCTCCAGGCGAGGGGATCTCGTCTGGAACGCCATTCAAGTCAGACCTGGAGGGTTGTCTCTCTGATGACTGTGATGATGATCCTTCTCCGGATCTGGGCAGCGGAGCCCCGTTCACACACGTTCCTCCCTCAGACTTCCCAAAGTTAAACAGTTTCCCAGGGTTGAAGGCTTTGCTGGGTGACTGAGAACGCTCCTGAGAGCTGCTACCTGATAATGAGGATGATGATGACGACGATGCTGTCGCTGTGGCGTTAGTGGCCGTGGCGGCGGCCACAGAAGCCGCAGCGCCTTCCTTCTTATTCTCAGGTGACTTGAGGAACTTGAAGCTCAGGAACCCGGGCAGTTTGGGCTCGCTGCCAGTGGGCGACTGAGGGGAGCGTGCACCGCCTGAGGAGAACTTACTCTGCAGCGGGATGATCTGTTTCAGCTTCATCACGTTATTATTGGCCAGCAGGGAGCTGGGCCTCTTGGGCTTGTCCGACCCGCTGCCCCCTCCTCCGCCTCCGGAGCGTGACTTGCTGCCGTGACTCTTGTCGTGGTGGTGATCCCCGGAGGAGTCACCTTTGCTGTCGTCCCGCTCCCTCTCTCTGCGGGCCATATGCTCCGCCTGCCGCTGCCTCTCTTCCTCCTCCCTCTTCCTCCTCTGCAGCTGCTGGTAATGCTGCTGCGCCTGACGCTCGTGCTTCTGCAGGGGAAAGCAAACAGTCCCACAATGTGTTCACCAGAATCAGCACAAGCCCAGCTAACTATCACAATACTGCAGTGCTACCCATCCAACAAATCCCTTACTACAGGAAGAATCCTGCAATAGTTCTGCAGGGGGCCACTACAAGCTCGTTTGTTTTCTATGTTGTGCAGTTTAGCTGATTGCTCTTATTGCAACACGGCTTTGTTGATGCAATATTGCAATAAGTTTAAAGCACAAAACTAAAAAAAGAAAGCTGCAGTGCTGCAGTAAAGCGTGTGTGCAGGGTGAAGTTAAAGAGGCAGTCTTTAAGGACTTCTTCTAAGTGCCTCAAAACTTCTTCAACACGAACCACGACACACTTATTTTGTCTAATGTGGCCTCATCCTTTACCTTAAAGGCCTCCCTGCGCTGATAGTCCAGTTTAGCCATCTCTTCTCGGACCCACGTAGGAATGTCAGGAATAGCCACATGGATGACGTACTTCAGGAGGATAGCAAAGTGCTGCAAACAGACGGACCGGTAAGAAAGTAGAGGAAAACACTTCATCACATAATCCGAAAAATATGAATGAACATGTAGTGTATTATCAGAACTGGGGCAAAGTGTCCCAGAATAGTTGAAAAGTGGGGTTAGGTTCAGTAATTGTTGTGCAACATTCGGGCAGTAACACCGTCCTTCTGATGGGCCTGACTTCTTTATCAGGCCAAGACAGAGCTGCGGGCTGTTTACCTGTTTCTGAATATAGGCAGCCGACAGAACCGGTGTCTAAATGTGTTACAAGCACTGGGAGCAACACAGAAATGGCTTTAAATGATGTGTCCGTGCTCTTCCAAAGGACTGAAACAATCGTCAGTTTGAACACCTTGTCTCGAATAAGTTGCTGCATGACACATTTAGTCTGGTCAGCACTTACCAATTCCCCCGAAAGCATCGGAGCAAGAAGGCTCGGTTCTGGTCTATCAGCACATACTGTGTACATAGTATGTGAAATCTGTATTGTTCAACCATCTCTAACCTTTCTCTACGTTTCTAATCTCTTGCACCACAATGTGTTATATTTGAAGATGTGGTTTGTGTAGATTCTGCCACAAACCCCTTAAAGTTTCTGGAGGCAGAGAAGTCACACACAGCAGTGGCCGAGCGCAGCAGCTGGCACGCTTTCTGATTAGCATACACTTTGTGCTGGGTCACAAGAAGGGGTGATTTTAAAAATGCTGGTGCCCAGAGAAAGTTTGAAAAAAAGCTCTGCTCTAAGCACTTCAGACTGACTAGCGGGAGCGAGCGCTGCTACCTCGAGGATGACGATGGAGATGATGGCCATCTCGGGGCTGAGCCACGGAAAGAGGCGCTGCAGCTGACCGCACTGACCAATCAGGTAACAATTCACGATGATGGCAATCAGGCCCATGGCTTCCATCGCAGTCTGTGAAGGAGAAAACAGAACAGCTTCTAGCTTTGCTCTTTCTGACGTGAACATATGAAAAGTTAAATTCTGCTGTGTTACTTCAGCCAGAGTTTGGTAACTGATTACGTAAATGGCATCGCTGCATACCACAGTTCATGTTAGTGCTGCCCTGATTTAAACTCCTGTCTTTTTACATCTGCACAGCGTAAGTCTGCATCACTAGAGTATATATATATATATATATATACACTGTCCCTGTCTGTAGGTGAAAGAATTTACAGCCAAGACCAAAACATCCTGTCCCCGTGTTAACCTCCACAGAGTGTATTTCTGACCTGCCACTGGCCGATGCTCTCTACTCGGACTCCAAAAGGCCTCTGCAGACCAGTGCAGAGCTTAAAGGCATCACTGCGGATCTCAATGATGTTGTTGATGAGAGCACACATGGCAGCCAGAGGAAAGGCAGAGGAGAAGAGCACCACGTAGCCAAACTGGACAAACATCTCTTGGTAGTCCTGGAAGGTGTCCTACAAGGAGACAAACCAGAAAACATCACATCTAACAACGTCTGAATGCTGCTACCTGGCTGCTAGAAGACGAGACGGACTTTCTGCAGATTAAATCAATGGTGCCTAATAACAGAAAGATATTTTTGGCTCTCTGTAGCTGTCATATAGCCATTAATAGTCTTCTGGAACATAATCTAGTGCTATTCACATCACATTCAGGACACTTGTGAAGGTCATGTCACTGTGTAGGCGGAGGGATGCTGTAGGATTCATGTTGCAGTGCTTCACATGAAACCTGAAACAAGAATCAGAAGAATGACCCACCGAGAGCACAGCTGGTTTCTGCCTTCAATTATCAGAAACTGGAATCTACCTGAGAACACAGTCTACCTGGGCGTCATGTCTTCTATGCACGGTGGGTACAGAGCATGAGTCTCCAGTAGTTTCATAAATATATAGGTTTTACATTTACACTTTATTAATGCTACAGAATTTCCCCTATAAAGTATTTAAATTCTCTTCTGTTGTATAAAGAACTTAAATTTAACAATCAAATCAATCATCTCAAACACATGTTGAGAAGTCGGAGCAAATCAGAGATGGTAGTTTGCATGTTGTTGAATTGTAAAAACAAACAGAACAGTCATACAGATGTCTTGTTCTTTGGCTGCCACTGAACAATAAACATGCTGCAGCTGGATACTTGCTTACAAGCTCAAGGACGAGGGTTTGAGAGGATTTTGTTAAACTGAAGTTGTTTTTTTGGGGGGGGGGGGGAAGTTGTGAGAGTTTCACACTCCTAGAACTAATGAATCACAATTTTTAAGGCTTCACAAATCCCTACGACCGAGGTGATGGACAAACTGCTACCATGACAGTCTACCATAATAGACAAACAGGAGAACTGGAACTTATCCTGAATGGATTCAAATACTGCAAAGAGACATCCTTTAAATCCTGTGCAGAGTGTACAGGTTGGATTAACATAAAGTTCCTCTTACAGCATATGTCTGCATGCAGCTCTCCATCTCGGCCTGAGTCAGTGTGGTGCTCTCTCTCTCCTCAGGAGGATCCATCCATGATTCCCTTTTCGTTTTGGCCTCCAGTCTCTCTGCGCTCCGGCCTCTTCTTCTGTGACGCAGTGATGTGCTGCTCTCAGAGCCAGAAGGCAGCGATGCAGCGCTGCCGGCAGCAGCGGCGGCGGCAGCAGCAGCAGCAGCGGCGGCAGCGTTAACTCCCTCAGTCCCGCCTCCTGCTGAGTCCTTCACATCATGGATGCCATTATCATCGTCATCATCACACATTTCAAACACAGATGCAGGGTCCATTCCTTTTTCCACCATCGTGGGGCTCCCCTCCTCCAGGAAGCTGTTGTCCATGGGGGGCCCGGCGCAGGCCGGCCTTCTGTCCACCTGAACAACAACAACACCGATCAGCAGCATCCTCCAGCACGATCAGAAGAAGACAAACAGCAACAATTGCTAAGAAGTGATCAAAGCTCTGCAGCACATGAACACACGTCACCGTACCTTCTCTATGAAGCTGACTTTCCTCAGCTTCAAACCGCAGTCGATCAAACTTTCCTCCTCCGTCTCTCCTTCGCTGAACCTCCCGCTGTCAGCCTCGTCCCTCTCACCTCCCTCCTCCTCATCAGGCACTCCACATCCCCCGTTCAAACACTTCTTCTCCCTGAGAGGAGACGAAGGGGCAGATAGACGTCAGACAAACCCTGCATGTTAACCGCCTGCAGTGGTGTTCCGTCGGTGTGTTTACTCAACGTCCGACAGGCATGAATCATAGCTGCGTGCAGCGAGCCGACGCTGGCAGAGGAAGATACAGTGACTTTCTATTTAAACTCTGGCAGGTCTGCTGGTGGTGACTAATGCTGTGAGTGTTGGTGTGAATGACAACTAAACACATAATTGTTATTATTCATCACGCTGATTGTAAAACAAAGCGTCAGTTTCTCTAAATTGTTCATTTCACCTTCTTCACTAGTCTGTAGTAGCAGCGTGTTTTCTTTCACTGTATTACTTTTGAGCTGATGTTGAGTTTGAATAATGACTGTGACCTTCTTTCCGGCTGCCCCACTCCGGGCCTGGTACCCCTCAGTCCAGGTCCCGGCATGGCCTGGTCAGTGGGAGAGGCCTGGGCTTTTCCAGCTGCCAGTCGGGCATATTTTAGCAGCACCGAGAGCAGCAGGTCCCACACGGCTCTCAGCGTTAACTCCCCCAGCTTGTGGCGCTCGTACAGGTAAGGCTGCAGCACCTCCTTCACATTTTGAAGGAACTGGCGTATGATGAGCAGAGTGGCCAGCATCTGACAAAGACAGCGGAAATCAGTTACAGCGCCAAGGGAACACAACAGGAACTTGTCAGAGTGTTTGACAAAGCAACCCAGAAAAATGCAAATAGCCTGAAATGCAAGCAAGAGGATCAGTAAACAGAACAGAGGACGTAATCACGAGCTGAGAGAGCAGGAGGATACACCCTCGAGGGGAAAAAACGCATTGAATCAATCAAAAGACTATTATGTATGCGTACTATATCCACAAGCAAATCAAATAAGGAAGTAAAGTGCAGCGGAACAGTTCCCTATGCATTAAAAATTTCATACGTCAGTGGCCAGGAGCAGTGCAGTCACAGTTTATGCTCCTTCTGATTTACTCGGGTTATTACCTTTAAAATCACATTTCAATGGCATTTGAAGCAGTGAAGCCGATGACTAATGACAACGTAAAGCCTTTAGCTAATGCCCACTGTGGGGAACAAATGCAAATCATACATATGAGGAAGTACAGAATCGCACCTTAAAGGATAACTACAGTTTATTACAACTTGGATTTACTGTCATGGTTCTGGCCTTCATTACCATTCATGATAACACTGTAGTCAGTCAACAGTCAGACTTTTATATTAGTTTTAACAAATACTCAGGACAGCAAAACGTACTGTACTTGAAAAAAACACAGGAAATGATCAGTCTAGCTGTAAGTTTGCAGAGTTCTTGTTTAAACTTTGACCTACCAAACCTAACAAATGCACATGTTCCGGGCAGTGCAGGGTTACGTAAACCCTCGAGGCTGAGCTAACTTTCTGTTTAGTTAAATCGGTTTAACTACGACACTGTTATCCAACTACTTGTGTTTCTTTCCCCGCTGGTTTCTCAGCAACAACTTTCACCAGTAAAACAAACTGATATCAAAGCTGCTGGACGTGAAAACAGAAATAAAGGTGGATCAAACCAGAATTGTCTTTTCACACTCACACCCAGGCACTAATTATATTTTCACACACATACACCCAGAGGACAGACGTTTTCAAGAACTGCAGCATCACAGAGAATCCTTTACTGGCTTCGATATTAAAGCAATCGTCTCCAATTAACACAATGCTGATGCACAACGCTGTTCGCTGGAGCCGCTGGCCGCAGCACAAAATGCAAACACAAAACCGCAACGGATTCCTGACAGGACATGGACACAGTGTTATTATCAGTCAATGATGGCAGCGATCAGAAAAGGAGATGCTGTTCTCCCACCGCTACCTCCTGAAGCCGTCGGCACAGGTACATCTGAGTCATACTGTCACAGTCAAGCTGGCAGCACCTCATGTTTTCTTTTTTTTTTTTTTATTTTAGTCACGTAAGAGTGAATTAAAAGTTAACTGAAGAGTTGATGAAAGGTCTTCGCATGTTTTAGTCAGCTTTCTTTTAACTCAATTCCTCTCTAATCAGTTGGAAACAAGAAGGGTCATGTCTGCTTACAGTATGCTTTACTCTGGTGTGGCGGCTCTACTGAGAGCACTTAGCAAAAGGAAAATGGACTTTGCCAAATTTTTAACGAAGCTGAGCCGTGCTGACCGAGGACAACTCTGAAGTCCGGTGACGTTAACGGATCGTGACAAGCTCAGTGAGGCGGCGCTCCGGCTGAGGGCGTAATGGAAACTGACAGACAGTGAGACTTTTGAGGTACGAGCGGTGAGAGCTGCATCGGAAGAACAATTCACACAAACTGCACGGAAGGAAAAAGGCCAAAACAAAAAATCCATACTGATTGCACATCCCCATATTAAAGAAAAATGGTCTGAACCAGGACAGATCCTTATGAGGTGGCCCAGCGGGAGAGGGATGGAAGGATGCGTTGTGAGGTTTCAGTCAGTCACATATAAAAGAAAATCCATAATTTAAACGATCACAGATTATCCTCTAACAGCTACAGAGAAGAGCTCCGGAGAAAAAAAGCGCTATAGCCATGTAGTAATGATTCAAATGAAAGGAGGAAAATTTCCAATTTGGAGCTGAAAGCTATCACCAGACGATCAATAGGCAAACCCGAGGATGTTCTTCTACAAGTCAGGCTGGCTGTTGATGGTCTGGTCGCAATGCAGCATGCAAAGAAACGACGGAGGTCAAAAATGGACCTTCCACCTAGACAGAACCGACAGGGATCATACTTTGGACCTGAGTAAAGCCCTGAAGAACCAGGGGACAGAGACCATAAACATCTGGATCTTGAGGATGAGGGAGGGCAGCAGATTGACCCGGACCTGCCGCTGCAGACTCCGCAACAGAGACAACACCAGCAGCATCTTCCACGAACGGACAGACGGACGGATGTGTGGATGAACGGGTGTTTAAATCGATGCATGTAAGCAGAGAGAGCAGAGCGTTTAAGGATGGCAGGGAGGCGCCTACAACACATCTGGGAAGCAAGAAGAACGGCACAAACAAACGATGAAGCCGTCTCTTACCTCTTTCAGGCGCTCCATGTCTTTGAGGTAGAATCCAATGTAAAAAAGGCTGAGATAAGAATTTACAAACTGAAACTGCAAGAGAAAGAAAACTGTGTGAAGAGAAATGTTGTGTTTCATGCTGCTGGGTTAGATGCTGTGAAATCAAAGCAGACACTTACAAGAACCATTTTGATGATGAGATTTTTCTCATAGGCACTCTGGAGTCTATAGTTTTCTGTGGAAACACAACATAAGTCATCTCTTAATTTACCTCTCAAAGAAAGTAGCACACTGTAAAATTAAAATCATTGATTAATCAGAGTTTAGAGGAGATTACTAAAGATCCACAAAGAAGCCTGAGCAATCGAACGCAATTTCCTTCAGATTATCTCCAGTAAGAGACGCTCTGCTCTGAGTGTAGATCAGGATCAGGCCACAAGCTTGACTCTCACCCATGTCATTGAGCCAGCAGGCGATTTTCCTATACACCTCGTCGCATGCAGTCACAGTGATAGCGAGCATGATTTTGGGGATGAAGCGAGCCAGCCGAGGCATTTCCTTGATCCCCATCACAAACTCCTGCAGAGACACAAATACAGCTTTTTACAAGTCACATGAAAGCAGCGGTGAGAACAACACAGAGCGACTGCCTGCTTTTGCATTTTTCCTAATTATCCATCACTTGTATTGTCTGTGGTTGCTTGACGCAGCTGTAGAAGAACTTTAACAAGCTTACTGCTTCAATGAAAGCAATTTAAACTAAAGAGATGCACAGTCAGATGCTTTTTACTGTCAAACCTTCTCCTGCTACATCCATGCAGACTGACCTGCAGCTCAAAGCAGATGAGCATGACCAGGAAGACAAAACAGAGACAGAGGATGCAGATGGGCAGGCTGACCAGCCACCTGAACACTCGCCTCCGCCATGGAGGGTAGTAGAACTCCTCGCATCCCGTGATGGGGCTGCAGCGCTTCACTCCCTGAAAACAAGGAGAGAAAGTGAGAGACAGCATGAAAGAGGAGAGGAAAGAAAACCTCAGAGCTGTAGTTCTTTTCTCACCCTGAACTGAGGCCGTGGCTCCTCCAGGGATTCGGCGGGCGTGTCCAGCGTTCCCCACTTGTAGGCCAGCTCAGCGCCCCTCCTCTTCCAGCGCTCCAGGAACAGAGTGGCCCACACCACGTTGAACAGAGCAAACACCACGCAGCAGATGTCACGGCTCGTCTGAGACGCCCGAAACACAAACACGACACATGTTTGACTACGGTCAGGTGACACAGTTTTCCAACTGACGACTGAAGTGTGGGTTTCCACTCACCTGATCCGACTCTGTGAGCATCCAAAGCACAAAGCCGATCACAGCAGGATACAACATAGACGTGGTGTAGAAACCCAGCCAGGCAAAATACATGGCGATCTTCACCCCGAAGTAGTCGCAGATATCATCTGGATACATCAGAGACGACACAAATTAAAATAAATAAGAGAGATTTACATATTGTCATATTGAATATGTCAGAGAACAGAATGTATGAACAGAGATTCACAAGCTGGTGATTCAACGTGTGTCAGAGGAACTTTGCGTGTTGTGGTTGTGGTCCTGCTGACGTGCTTTGATCTACTGACCTAAAGGCTGTTTCTCACAAACAGCCTGAACCCAAGACTTCATCAGCTGACTGAGGATCCGCTGCTCATGGAGAGGAAACACCTGCTGGATCACACCTCTCGCGCTCAGCTCCGGGACTGCAGAGAGTGAAGCAAAGATCAAAACACACTGAACTGAATCCGATTTGTTAGAGAGAAGAGCACAGATAGATGAAGAGTAGGCAGTAAAAGCCTCGGGTCACCAGTGGGTTCGTTGCATTTCTCAGTCTTTGTGTTAAGATACAGCCAGAATATACAGGAAACAGCCTGAAAAACGCAAACAACCGAGAACAAAACGTCTTCTGCAGGCTTAGTGTGACCTCCTTCTGCACTCAACATGTCTTGAACTCTTTTGGGCCGACAGTACAACAATCATTGCACTAATTATTCAAGGTTTGAGCTGCCTTTTGTTACGGTTGTATGACTCTTATCGTTATGTCTTCATCCGTGTTTTGTGGTGCTGCTGAGTATTAAACACATACAGTGTCAGAGCTGGAAGCTTGCTACGATAAAAGGCGACGTCTCAATCACGACATTCCAGTCAAAAAAACAGAATCACAATTTGTCTTCAGCGAGGTCTCTATCAAAACCAAATCATCAGACATGTTGTCCACTGCTCCACATTCCTCTTTAATAACAACCTGGAGAGAGACAGGAAGGACACAAAAGGAGCAGAAGGCCAAGAAAACTGTGAGTGTCTGATTAGAAGTTTCTCCTTTGAAAAACTGGAAGAAGTCTCACAAAGAACTTGCTCAGCATCTGGCAGCTTCATCTGGAGGCCAAATTGATCCTTCTACGGTGCCGAGAAGTTTGATTAGAAATGGCCTCTGTGGAACGGTGGCAGCCAAGAAAACATTTATGGAACGAGGCTAAAGGGCTGAAATATGCAGAAGCTCACAAAGGCTGGAGTGAAGACCAGGTCTAGTCATTATGTGAGAGGAAGAGTCAGATAGGTACGAGAAAGTGAGACGTGGTGGAGGGTCTGGAGTGGGTCGGGCTGCTTTTCTGCTCGAATCAAAGGAATGCTGGAAAGTACAGACCAATTCTGATTCATCGTCTTAGAAAGAGTCTGATTGGAAATTAGTCATCCTCAAATAAATTCATCCTCTTCCAATAAAGAAAAGGCAAAATTCACAACAGTCACTCAAATAATGACAAACTGAAGAAAATAATAATAAATAAAAATTTGCTAAATTATAATTTAGTGAAATTAGACGTTGCTTTTGAATTGTGGTTGACAAGAATAATAAAAAAAACAACAACAACAACAACAAACTGTCCTGGATCAATGAGAGGCCTTTGCTGATGAGCAGTGGACCAATGAGAGGCCTTTGCTGATGAGCAGTGGACCAATGAGAGGCCTTTGCTGATGAGCAGTGGTCCAGAACACCTGTCAACAGGTGCAGAAGTCTGACTGAGAGTTACAGAAACACCTGATGGCAGTGATTGGCTCAAAGGGTTGTTCAGCTAGATATTAGTTCACGGGTCCCATCAGGCTGGTTTGCTTGTTTTTTAATATTTCTGTTGAACCACAATTCAAAAGCAACGTCACGATTTTCATCTTTATTTATTATTACTTTTGTCGATTTCAGCTCATTTCAGTGACTGATGTTATGTTTCCTTCTTTAATGTGAGGGTATGAATACATCTGAGGACAACTTTATGTATATTCTGGTTGCATCTTGACACAGAGGCTGAGGAATGCACATGTAAAGTAGTTAAAGGTTTTCTAAACAACAAACACAATGACAGTCTGGGACATTTGTACAGAACTGTAAAGAGAAAGTTAAATGTTTTGACTCACAGCCATCACAAACCAAAATAAATGATTATTTCTAAAGCCTGTCAGAGATGATGTGCCTTCTGTTTGGTAGATATCTCAGCATTTAGTTCCACTGTACTGACAAAGGATGCAGCTTACTGATTGGCTGGCCCTCCAGGAAGCTGATATTATGAAGCACCTCCCCATGTTTGGCACGTAGATTGTCCAGCCAGTACTTAATGATGCTCTGCCTCTCCTGCAGCAAACAAGAGGTAGAGGATTGATTATCAGAGAGACTCACATCTACCTGTGGGTTGTTTCATCTCACATCATAAGTTGACTCAATCATTTCTGATTTACTTGGAACTTTTTTCTTTTTAAACTGTGGACAAACTATGGATATTATTAAACTAGACTATCGACCAATATTTTGTTTTTTTGGCACAACTTTTACCAGATAACTCATTGTTTTTGTTAATGTGTGTTAAAAGATGGGACCTTTTCATGACAGTTTCACTTTTTCCTCATATTTTAACTCAAGATTAACTGAAATCATTTGATCTTAACGTTGCAGATTCTAAAGTAATGACATGATGAGAAATACCAGAAAAGATTTCAGGCATTGATCTTGAACAGTTCCTGAGATACTGTCATCTAAACATTCGATTTATGAGCACTGAGTACTGAAAATGGGTCGACCGGTAATCTTGGAAAGTATTTTAAATGTAAGTCTATAAACTTTACAAACATCTTTTTAAACATCCACATTTTGTGCAATAAAAAATTCAGGCAAATCAGAGATGACTGAGCAGAAATAAAACTGAGATGATGCACATGTGTGAGACACCGACCTGTGAGGTGAAGAAGCACAGCTCGCTCTCGATGTTCTCGTAGATGTAGTCCTCCTCACAGGAGAAGCTTCGTGTTCCTCCACCAAACTCGGGCTTCACCGCTTTCCTCAGTCCCATTTCCTCAGCACCTCGCAGCAAACTGCAGAGCAGCACACATTTTTATTTGTATTTTTTGTTTTTAAACCATCCTCAGACACTCAGCCCACGTCTTTAATCCGCTGTGCGACTTTGCGGTGTATCAATTTTACTTCAGTCTGTTCTGATTACGTCTCCTTTTGTTAGCGATTGCCTACACGTCCCAGAACTCGCAGATAATGACCCTCGAGCTGTTGTATTCTGCCGACGATTATACCGCAAAACATGTGGGCGGAGAGAGCAGCATTGTGTGTGATTGCATAGTAACAGCGGGAGGGTGTTGTTTCATTTATCCAGCGAGATGTCAAACATTTGACGGGTACGGATTTGAAAAATATGAGGATGTGCTGCTCTTTTTAGTGCTTGATTAAAGC